GAGGGATGGGAGGGTTTTTTAGGGGTGTGTTTTTCTGTTAGTTTGTTTTTTTTGTTTGTGTTTTTGTTAAAAAATAATAAAAATACTTTGAAGAAAAAAAATAAAGGAAAATGAGAAGGTAGAGTGTTGGTCCGTCCGTCCTTCTGTCCGTCCATTTTCTGCCGGAATCGGGTCGTGGGGACAGCAGCCTAAGCAGAGAGACCCAGACTTCCCTCTCCCCAGTCACTTGGGCTAGCTCATCCAGGGTAATCCCAAGGCGTTCCCAGGCCAGCCGAGAAACATAGTCCCTCCAGCGTGTCCTGGGTCTTCCTCTGGGCGTCCTCCCAGTGGGACATGCCCCAAACACCTCACCTCGGAATACCTCCTGGAAGCATCCAGGAGGCATCCTAACCAGATGCTCAAGCTACCTCAACTGGCTCCTCTCGACATGGAGGAGCAGAGGCTCTACTCTGAGTCCCTCCCGGATGACTGAGCTTCACCCTGTCTCTAAGGGAGAGCCCAGACACCCTGCGAAGGAAACTCGTTTTGGCCGCTTGTATCCACGATCTCGTTCTTTTGGTCACTACCCAAAGTTCATGACCATAGATGTGGGTAGGAACATAGACCAGCTGATGAATTGAGAGCTTCACTATGACAGACCTGTACAGCGCCCGCATCACTGCAGACGCAGCACCAATCTGCCTGCCAAACTCCCGCTCCATTCTTCCCTCATTCGTGAACAAGACCCCGAGATACTTAAACTCCTCCACTTGGGGCAGGAACTCCTCCCCAACTTGGAGGCGGCATGCTACCGTTTTCCGGCTCAAGGCTATTTGGAGACAATGATCTTCATCCCGGCCGCTTTCACACTCAGCTGTGAACCGCTCCAGTGAGAGCTGGAGATAACGATCTGATTAAGCCAATAGGACCACATCATCCACAAAAAGCAGAGATGTGATCTAAGGTCACCAAAACGGATCCCCTCAACACCTCGGCGGCGCCTAGAAATTCTGTCCATAAAAGTTATGAACAGAATCGGTGACAAAGGGCAACCTTGGCGGAGTCCAACTTTCACTGGAAACGAGTACGACTCACTACCAGCAATGCGAACCAAGCTCTGGCACCGGTCGTACAGGGACCTAACAGCCTGTATCAATGGGCCTGGTACCCCATACTCCCGGAGTACCCCCCACAGAAGTCCCCAAGGGACACGGTCGAATGCCTTCTCCAAGTCCACAAAACACATGTAGACTTGAGCAAACTCCCATACACCCTCCAGGACCAGAGTTGTACAGTAACTAAGTACAAATACTTCTTTACTGTACCTAAGTAGAATTTTTGGTTATCTGTACTTTACTTGAGTAATTATTTTTCAGTCTACTTTTTACTTGTACTTCTTACTTTTTTTACACAATTATCTGTACTTTATACTCCTTACATTTTTTTAAAAAGCAAGAAGTAGAAAGTTGTTATTTTTATTTATTTTTTTGTTTGTTTTTATTCCAGCTAGTTATTGTAAAAAATAATAACTATCCATATAAATTGTGCTTCCTAGATAGAGTGAATTTAACTGTGGTTGAATGAGAAGTTTAAATATATAAAATTCGGATTACTATACTGTATTAGTTTGTACACAAACAAATCATGTCACACTCCAACAGGACATAACCATTAAAATAAAAGGACTGTACTTAAGAAGTATTTGTATTTCAAGAATTATATTATTGCATTTGGCTGCAGCCCTCAGATAAATATTCATTTTGGAGAAAAGGTTTGGGCTCCCTTGATATATGTATATAAACTGAAACAGTTGGACTAGTGCATCCTAAATTTAACATAAATTAATTATTTAATACAATATAATAATTTCTGCATTGTTTTGGGGAGGTCACCTCCTAATAAATATCATTACGGAAAATCTACCTACTCATTTTAAATCAATACTTTTACTTTTAATACTTAAGTACAAAAAGTATTAGATACTTTAAGACTTTTACTCAAGTAATATTCCTAAAAGAGACTTTAACTTTTACCAAAGTAATTTTTTGGTAAGATACTTGTACTTTTACTCAAGTATCACTTTGTGGTACTTTATACAACACTGTCCAGGACCCTGCTGAGGGTGTAGAGCTGGTCCGCTGTTCCACGACCAGGACGAAAACCACACTGCTCTTCCTGAAGCCGAGATTCGACTATCCGATGGACCCTCCTCTCCAGAACCCCCGAATAGATCTTACCAGGGAGGCTGAGTGTTGGGAGGTGGGTAATTACAGGTACTATGGCTATGGCAGAGTGGTTAGGGGAGTCATCCTGGAACCGGAAGGTCACTGGTTCGATCCCCCGTCCAGCTGTCTCAGCTGTTGTGTGTGTCCCATCAGTGTATGAATGTGATTGGCACTGATTAGTCTCCATAGATGATTGTACATGTTAGCTTTGTAGAGACCTAATAGAGTGCTGTGTGAATGGGTAAATGAGGACACAGATTGTAGTGTGAAGTGCTCTGAGTGTCCTGGATGGATAGAAAAGCGCTATATAAGTACAGTCCATTTACCATTTACTACAGGACAGCATCATGAACAGAAAATTAATACAGCAATTTAATGCAGAAAGTATTGCTAACATTTTCTTTGTTGCTGTGGTGACAGGTTAGGTTCCTACCTAGAACAAAAACATATAAAATTGTTAGAAGGGTGAGGGTTAAACATTTTTTATGCATTACAATGCATATGAATGATTCTGAATTAATTTAAAACTGTCAATTATTGTTAATCAATTAATGTATTATCCGAAAGCAAAAGTGTGTAGGCTTTTTCTGGTTTCACTGTCGTAATTTGTGAAATTTCTTGCATTTGGTGTTGCTTTCTTGTGTTTCTCTGGCTATCAGCTTCTTCCAAACTGCCTGTCACGTTCCTTAGCCCTACCTCTTCACTCACACCCATTCCCCATTTTTGTTAGTCTTGGCTGCAGCCATCCCTCAGTCTTGACCTTTTTATTTTCTCACTTTCCACTAACCTTTAGTTAGTCATTTGTAGCTTCATGCTTTGCCTGGTTTCTCTTGTGATTCTGTGCATTTTGTATTCTGCTGCCACATCACTATTCTCTCTTTTTTTTTTTTAATTAAATTATATCATCATCGGTTCCATGTGCACATTTTCAACCTTGGGTCCTACCTACTGCACTGACTCAAAAACTGGACCTGGCCAATTATTAACCCTTTTTGTTGAATTCCTCCCCTGCAGCTAACAAGTAAGAGCAGAGGTCTGAGAACGAGAACACATCACTGCCAGTCCATCACTGAATTGGGTTCCGGGTAAGGCCTAAGAAAAAACTAACAACCTGCATAGGAGAGTGGGGTGAGTTGTGCCACGTTTTGGAAAAAATGGATTATCCAGCAGTTCTAAGTGAAATTATGTTAGCTGCATAGGCTCATAGTGTAGCTTTGCAAGACACTAGAACATGTGTGAAATGTTTTCAAACTTATCTATAACTGTTCAGACACAACAATCAAAAAAACCTTGATAATAGAAATTTTACTTTGAAAGGCAAAAAAAAAAACTTTTTTGAACTTAAAACGGTTATTCTTTGCAGGATGAGTGAAATGAATGCCTGCACAAAAATGTGAGGTCACATGACCAGTTTCTTTTATGGCAGTCTACAAAAAGGGGGTGGCACAACTTTCTCCCTGGCACAAATCCCCCCACTCTCCCCTACAGTCTGTATTTGAATACCTCAAATTTTTAAGGGTTTGTTTTTGTTTTTTCATAAATGTTCATAACTGACAAGCATGTTTTGTCATGTTTCAAACTTGCATTTAGGAACCTTTATTGTTGCATCCTTTTTGTTGGATACTTTTTCAAAATAAAGACGCCACTTTTAAATAGTGGCATAGAAAGCCTGTAGTCTTACCTGTAACTTGAGCTCCACAGCAGCCTGCTCCACTGCTGCACTGTTCTCTCAGACTGGACAGCTCTGACTCCAACAGTTCTAGTCTGTTCAGGATATCTTTGATGTCTGGCTGCTCAGTGTTGCAGCCGCATGCCTGCTTAGGAATATTAATACGGTGAGTAAAAACAATTTGATTGTCACCATCCACTGTGTGCTCCATGTGCTCGCTGTTCTGCATGTCCATGGAGGCACTCTTGTGTTTGAGCTCAGTGCCTCCTGGTGAGTCCAGATCCACTGAGCAGAAGTTAGTGGAGGGGACATTGATGTTGTAGACATGGTTGAACACCACCGGCTGGTTATGATGTGGTAGGGTCAGGTTCTCCTGGGTTTTCTTGGGTATCAGGGTCTCTCTGCGGTGGCGGATGACTTTCTTGACCAGTCCACCATTGATAAACTGGAACAGCATGGCTGCAGTAATGCAGCTCAAGAGGAAACTTTTCATCCTCATGACAGTCTGGTATCAAATGCACGTTTAGGTTTTGTCCAGAGTCCTATAAAAATACAAAACATACAAATGGAAGTAATGAGAATGATAATTGCTTTTGTAAAATAAAAGAAAGAAAGAAAATTGTTATCACACACCTTTTATAAAACACCCCCAGCTTACAAAGCATCAGTGATTTATGAACTGCTTTGCACATTTACCTTTCTAGTTTGTCCTTGTCATTCTGTATTAATTTAACAACATATTCCCTCAACTCCCTGGCACATTTCACACCAGGGAAAACAGCTGGTGAATTATCATAGTACTGTGTCCCTAAAAATAAAGCAATTAACCTTCTTCTGTTGCCCCTAACAAAGGAACACTTCCAAGCCTTTGACCCATTTTAGCCCCTCTCCTCTCAGTGGAGGATAAGCACACCTAGTGGATGTCAGTGAGGCATTAATTCATTTCACAACTCCTCCAAGGACTGAGAGCAGCAATTACAGCAGGGGTAGCATTTCACCTTAAGTCTTTATGCAAAAAGGCTTTTTTCTGACCACATTCAGACAGGTTGCCATTACCAAAATAGCCATGGCAACACCTACAATATGCCATTACACCTCTCCTTTCTATGCCCCAGACCAAAACCCAAGCTGACAGATTAATGCTGGTGTCTGGTTACACCATCTGTAGACTTTCTGTAAAAGCACAAAGGGCTTGCTTTACCCCAAAAACTGGTAAATCAGCATTCCTGAACAGCCACCATTTTAGTCCGGTATGATGGGTGAATTTTATGTTTTGAATTAATTTATTTATTTTTTAAAGTTTTATTTAAAATACTTCTCAATTTCTTGTTTGAATCAATTATAAATTACAATGTTTATACCATTTACCAAATTCAGCATTCAGTTTAAGTGTGGTACATCTCACTCAACAACATCTGCTCGAGGAATTTAGGTTTTGTAGTTTCATGATTCTTGTAGTGGCAGTTTGCATATACTCATCACGGACATGAATGTCACATAAAACGTGGACATTTTAAAAATTAAGTTCAGACATAGTCTATTGTCATGTTTTAATTTTTTCAGTCTTTAACATTTTAATTTATCGTGAATTTTATCGAATCCATACAAGGTCAGAATTACACAGAGTCTCAAATATATACATATACATACCCNTGTGTGTGCAGATTGTATAAATAAACGAGCAGCGAGTTTATAAGAGATTTTAGCTCGAATAGCTTGTCATGCTGATTTATTACTGTTGTCTAAAATATATTGGGATGTATGGCGTGACTAGACTTATTCAGTTAAATCACTGGAATGCTGAAAGTAAAGACGACTAATGCAAATAGAAATATATTTTGTGTGTAATGTGTTCTGTTGTGTCAGTTTTTTTTCTTTTATTAAAAAAAGGCTATGGCATTTGTCAGCATTTATTTTCTCTCTCGACAAGCTCAGTAGCTTTCCGTCAAGTCAGATGACCAAACCCTGCAGGGGATTATTAAGAAGCTGTGCCCTTTGTCCCTGGAAGCCTCCGATTTTACCACGAGGGCACGTCACCATGCTGGCATGTTAATAGGATCCATTGCCGATAACAAGGAGCTAATGAAAATCTAATCAAAAAATTAGCTTGTCTTTTTTTTCCTCTCTTTCTGACTGTCACAAAAACACACACACACACACACACACACACACACACACACACACACACACACACACACACACACACACAAATATTCAGTTAAATGTTCCTTTGCAAGTTGCTTCTTGACCAGTCTTTATGTATCCATAAATATGCTTCTGTTATCATTTTGGCTGATATTTGACCGCTCATAGCATAATTGCTAGAGATTAATTTTCTAGGGTTCCTGACATGAACTTGATTTTTAAGTCCATAAATTTCCAGGGTTGAAATCAATGCTTTGAGAGGGCAATTCCAGAAATTTATTGTGTTATGGATAATTGCCCCATTGAAATCCCAACTGTATCTGAATTTCAACATTTGAATTGATGTTCAAGAATTTGGAGGTAAGCCTTCTCCTTCGTTAAACCTTTCACTCTGTACAAAGCACGATGGTGTGCATAATGCTTGACAGTTGGTATAGTTTCCTTAGGTTTGAAAGCCTCAACTTAACCATACCATACTTCTTGTTATGATGGCCATTTCAGTCCAGCTAAAATCTGTAGCGGCAATGGGCATCTTTCTTGGTTGACATCCTAAAGAGCACGGTAATGTAAAACTTATTTCCCTGTAGACAAGGAAACTGCTGTTCCAACCAGGTATTTTACAGGTCTACTGAGCACAAGATAGTGAAATGGACTGTTTATGCATACATCTCTTGTTTTTAAAATGAACTGAACGATGTATAAGTATTCTGCCAAAAACAACAGTTCTAATAAAAGACCAAAATTGATCTGAAATCCATGCCCATGATAAGTGCATGTAAAAATTTGACTGCAACTATGTTAAAATGTCAAAAAAGACCTGTGGCATGAAACCAAAAAAAGGAATAAAACAGTGAATGTGGAGCCACAGACTGATGTTTCCTTTGAGCTTCTGCTAAAAGTCTGGTTTACCTAATTGCACCTTTTACCCCACCTTGAAGGTTGCTGACTGTGTTCATTTTCCACCTCTGGTGAATTTGGTGTGTGCCTTGGCAGCTCAAAATCAACAGCAGATGCCAGCAATCAGCATGAAAACGTCCATATGAGCAGACATGAAAACATCATAGTAGGTGCAGAGTGTTTCGGTAAGTCAGCCTTGTGGTGGGTCACAAATTATGGTAGTTAGTTTTCCCCTCTACCTGACTTAGTCACATTGATGTAGGAATTGGTCAGAATAGTTTACTAACTATTGTCATATGTACAGACAGACACTCAGCAGGATGCATTACAGAAAAGGTTCCCATCCAGACACATAATTAGCAAAAGTTTGAGGATCTCACACTCTCACCCCCTCGTCACTGATCTAAAACCACTGATTAGACAGTCACCTTCATGATGTCTGTAAATGTGCAAATTTGTCTTGCTGATTACAATTTTTAAGATTTCAGATTATAATCTGAAAAAGTTGTTCTATACCTGTTATTTGTTATATCGTAACGGAGATTACAAAATCTGTGTGTTACGTATATACATATATAT